ATCAAGGGTGGGAGGGGACAAAGACAGGGAGAGGGGACAAGGCATGGGAACAGAGACACAGAGAGGGGACAGGACATAGGGACAGGGACAGATATACAACGATGGGAAAAAGCATCTGGGCAGGGTCACAGGACAGAGAACAGGGACAGGGCTACAGAGGTGGGACAAGGGATGGGGCATGGAAACAGGGTCACAGAGGTGGGACAGGCAACGGGGACAGGGGCAGAGCATGGGACCAGACTGAACAGGACATGGGACAGAAATGGGACTTACAGGACTTCCTATTGCCACGGGATCTCCTGCGCTCCTTGTTGGGGCAGGGCCGGGGGTTGGCATTGTGCGTCACCGATTTCACCAGCTGGTCCATGATTTCATCCGAAGCATCATCTGGGGAGCTGGGAACATCCTCCTGGGCCGGAGAGCCCTGTGCCAGGGTGACTTGTCCTGTCCCAGGCACAATGGAGATGCCGGTGTCAGCTATGCCCAGCCGGGTGGGCACATCTTGAGTGCCTCTGGCACCCCGCTCCTACCCCGGCTGGCACGACTGCGGCGGGCAGGGGCATCCGTGGGGGAGGTCAGCAGGCTCTTCATGCTCTCGTGTCCTGCCTCCATCTGCTCCTCGGGGCCGGTGCACACCACGGCGGGTGGCAAAGCGACCTCGGCGACGCCGGAGAACTTCTCGGTCTGCAGCGGGAGGAAAGGCGGGTGTCGGGGACCTGGGGGGCATCACCTGGTGGTGGCAGCCGGCTGAGCGTCCCCATACCTCGGGGATGAGCCGTCCCCGGGTCTTGTTGCGCTCACGGTGGGCGGCCCGCTTCTTCTGCTGCTGCAGGATGCGCTCCCGGCAGGTGCGGTACTCCAGGGCGAACTCCTGCAGCAGCTTGCAGATGGGCGTCACCTTCACGTCCCGCGCTGTGCTCGCCGGGTACCCCAGGTACAGCAGGAAGGAGTGAAACCTGTGGGGACGTTGGTCACAATGGGCCACCAATGGGACCACGGGGTTCCCGCTGTGTCCCCAGCACCTCAAGCCACCGACCTGTTGAGGACACGCCTGTGCACCACCTTCAAGACGATGATACGCTGGGTGCTGTCCTTGAGGAAGTCTGTCAGCTTGCTCTTCAGCACCGGCTTGGTCTCGTGCTTGGCAATCACCTTCAGGTTGTCCCAGGAGGCCCTGCACCTCCGCTCCAGCTGCACCAGGCTGTTGGCCAGCTCGTCAAAGTCAACCTGTAAGAGCGAGACATCAGCCCTTGGACACGCTAGTGGAGCTGGGCAGCCATGGGACCTGCACCTTCACTTTGCCAGGTGTCATCGGGCTTGCCTCACCTTGGCGGAGCGGGTGATGGAGGCAATCTCCGAGTAGAGGTCGGTGGTTTCTGGGAACTTCTCCACCACCATCTGGCAGAGGTGGTGGAGCAGGGATTGCCGGTGCACCGTGTCCTTCACTTCCGAGACCTTCTCCAGGTAGCCCAGCTCAAAGCCTCTGCTCTGAAACCCCAACGGACTCAGCAGCGCCCCTCCATCCCTCCTCCAGTCTGCAGACCCACTGGGTCCCCCCCAGCACCACCCAGACTCAGGCACCCTCCCAGGCTTCCCACAGTCCCTCTTGGGTACCCACACACCATGGCTGGTCCTTGCACCACTCAAGGCAGGCCACGTCCCTCCACACCCTGCTCCTCACCTGGGAGCCGTTCAAGAAGTTGCCCATGGCCAGCAGTGTGGCCAGGATGCACTTGAAGGTGTGATTTCTGGCCAGCTGCTCCATGCCCACCTTCAGATCAAACAGCGGCTCCGCAATCTCCTGGGTGAGGAGAGAGGCAGGTGAGAGACCCCTTGGCCACCATCTACCTTGGGACCTTCGGCATTCACCCTTGCCCATGAGGACAACCACCCCATGGTCAACCCAAGCCCATGCTTGCCTTGGGACATCCCCAGCCAGGATGGCACCTCCCCTGCTTGGAACTGGCTGGTCCACCCCAGGAACACACTTGGCTCAGCGCTGCGGGGGCTGGCAGCGGTGGGAGGGTGGAGGGGGGATGATGGGGTTCATGGCTCTGTACCTGCTCCAGGCTCTCGTAGTCCAGCTTGAAGGCCCAGAGCTGGAGTCTGTCTGTGAGGTCGCTGATGGAAGACAGGGCGAGCAGGAACTGCTCCGCAGAGCCCAGGGGCACATCAGGGTTGGCCAACTGGGCCTCCTGGATCTTCTGCTTCTCCTCCTCGGTCGGGACCATGGTCAGGATTTTCTAGAGCAGGCAAAGTGGGATGTGTCAGACTCCAGACATGTCACCATGGGATGTGTCACCCCAGGGCTGGCAGCGGAGGTGGCATGGCATGGAGGCCTCCTGGCCAGGGGAAAGAACCCACACGAGCACCTCGGAGGGGCCGGGCTTCTCTGGTGCTCACCTCAATCCCTTCCTTATTGACCGCAAACTCATCGAAGTTGAGCACGGCTGTCTTGATGATGTGCACGGGTGGCAGCACCGTGAGGCCAATGTTGATGGCGTTGCTCCTCTTGGGGTCCAGCACCACCACCACCTTCTTCCCATCGATGGCCTTCTGCAAAGAGGATGGGACGGATGGGGGCAGCCAGGGAAAGGGCTCGCCTTCATGAAAACACCATGGACACGGGGAGTCGATTAGGGACCCAATGGCGAGCCAAACCTGCGCGCTACCCATCACCAAGCCTCGGGGCTGCAGGTACCCATCCTCAGCATAGGGTAGGGGTGACAGGGCATGCCTAGGGGCCCCACAGGAACTAACAGCCTTCCTCCCACCCCCAAAACCCCTTGACTGATGGGTAGTGGCCCGCTGGTACCTTTGAAGTTGGCACTTCCTTTGACCGTGACTCGAAAAGATGCTCCAGTTTGGCAGCATTGACCTCCACGCTCTGCAGGGACGCCCACAGCGTTGCCTGCCCGAACCGGCCCAGCCCCACAGTGCTGTCCAGCTGCTTCAGCTCCTTCCAGAAGAGCTTCACCGTCCTCTTCTTCTTGGCCTGGGAAGGGCCGTCTGTTACTGAGGGACCTGGCAGCCCTGGGGCGGGTGGGCAGCCAGGGATGGCTAGAGGGGGAGGTGGTGGGCAACCAGGGATGGCTAGAGGTGGAGGGGGAACCATGAGAGCTCCAGCGCTCGTGGCTTCGATGCCAGGAGGGAGGAAGGAGCCATTGGCCATGGGCCCCATGTCCAAGATGTCAAAGTCTTCTTCTTCCTCCAGGTCAGTGAAGTCCAGGTCCTTAATCTTCAGCTGCACGGGGCTGGCCTCCAGGCGCTCCCACGTCAGCTCTGCATCCTTCTTGATGGGCATCATCCCAGTGTTCTCCAGCTTCTGCGTGTGGGTCTCAGCATCTATACTCGACGTGGCACACGCCAGCTTGGCATGTGCGCTGGCCACCGGCCCATCTGGAGCTTTGCTGCGGAGCCAGGTGCCCTCCTGCTCTTGGCTGCCACCTCCCTTGGTGTCCGTCTTCCCCTCACCATGGACCAGGGGGGACGATGGTTCCTTGGGGATGACCTTCTCACTCCCCGGCTCCGAGGAGCCCTTGGCATAGAGCATGTCCAGCATAAACTTGGTGTCGGAGGAGATGGTGCTGCAGGAGTCAGTGGTGTCTGGCCAACCCAGGCGAGACCCTGTGAGGAAAGGGGGAGAGGCTTGGATAGCCTGCTCGGAGGGCTGGGGTCCTGCCCCCCGCAGGGTGTGCTCAGATGCCGGCGTTTGGTGCAGGACGGGGAAGCACCACCCAGCTCCTCCATGGCTCCTGGTATCGCAGGGGTGGGCTGAGGACAGAGGGGTCACTAACGCCCACCCCAGGGACCCCGATGAGCCCAGAGCCAGGAACACGTGCACTGGCAGCACCTACTTATGCTGGGTGGCTCCATCCCGGGCTCAGGGGTGCCGCTGTCCCTGTCCCACGCCAGAGTGGTGGGATGCTCCTGTGCTGCATCGCCAAGGATGTCGAGCCGTCCCTTGGCCATAGAAGAGAGCTTCTCCTTCTGGGCTGCAGCCAGGTTCTCCAAGAAGCGAGCTCTGCGAGACAGGGACAGATGTTGGCTGGGAGCAAGGAAGGGATGGGGACAACGGGCAAACCACGCCATGCCACACTGCACAGCCAGCCCCGCAGCACAGAAACCCCTGCACTGGCGACACTGCATGGGGCACCCGGAGGATTCAACCACCTCCAAGCCCTACAAAGAGATGGGTGGCACCACCACGGCTCGGAGACAGGGCTGCCACTGCCCCAGAGGAGCTGAAGCCTCGTGCCATCAGGTTGCCACCATCACCCGCTGGTCCCAACAGACCCAGTGCTCACCGTGACCCTTGTCCAAAAGCTGCAAAACCCAGGAGGGCACCCAGGCAGAGACTCGTGGGGACCCTCCTGCTCCTCACACCCTGCATGGCTGGAGCCCAGACACCTGTGGCTGGGCGCCAGCTCAAGGAAGCGCACGCCTGGAGACACACGCATGCCTCTACTTACTCAAACTTCCTCAAAATAGGCTTGTCCCCATGCAAGGAGGGGGGATCCTCCCGCCTGAGGGAAAAAGGGGTTCAGCCCCACTGCTGGCAGCCCCCCCGGGGCTCATGTATCCTGCACGCACCCACCTGGCAGCCCCCCCCAGCCTGGGACCCTCACCCTGCTGTCACTCCATGGCTCTGGGGACATGTTCATGGGGAGCTGGGAGAGCCCCAGTGAGTCCCTGGGCACCACATGGCATTGATGCTGGTGAGACAGGGCACCGCCCCCTCCTCCCCAGAGCCACCCAGTTTGACACTAGGATGGTGATGCCAGCCCCAGGGTCCCCAGCAGGGACACCTCACCCCCGAACAGGGGGATCAGAGGGTGCCATCCCCCTGTGAGGGATGCTGGTGATGCAAGGAGCAGGCTGGGGTCCCGCAGGCAGGGCACAGAGGGGAGAGGCGAGGGATGGGGACAGTGACAGGTGCAAGGGGCAGCAAGCAGGGCAGGGCAGTGCCTGCTCCTGCCGGAGCATCCCGCCGGGAGGGAGCACACACGTGCAGAGCCCGGGCACTTACCAGACAGGGGATGTTTGGTGCAGCCTGCAAAAGGAAAGATAGAAAGAGTGGGCAGAGGAGAGGGCAAGCGTGGGCAGAGAGGAGCAGCGAGGAGAGTTGGAGCAGAGCTGTGCACGCCTGAAGGATGCCCTGGAGCCCCTCGCCAGACCCTCTCAGGTGCCCACTCCCCTGTCATGCTT